GAAGTTCAGCAAAGAAGAGAATAAAGATTCTAATCCACACTATGACTAAGTGTGGGAGGTGGTTGTTGCTAAGTTTCTAGCACACAAGCCTCATCCATTTCCCATCACAAAGCTGGGACTGCTCACCCATCTGCGCCCTGACACACAGGCCTTTACCCTGTGAGCCTCCGTCACCAGCTCTGCTCCGTCAGGGCTGACGCAGCCCCCACAGGCATTCTCGAGCTCTCTCTATCACAGCCAGAGTTCGCTCTACCATCACCTTCTCAGGTGGAGCCTTGCAAAGTTAAATAGGAGGAGATTTGGGACAAAGAGAGGAAGGGGTTTGAAAGAGAAAAGAACGGGTGGGAGGGAGGTAGAGTCAAAGAGATAGAGAAGTTAAAAGTCTGATGTAGCCGAAACTGGTTTGGCTCAGTGGATAGAGCCTCAGCCTGCACACTGTAAGGGTCCCAGGTTCGATTCCCATCAAGGGTACCGTATGTACCTTGGCTGTGGGCACATCCCCAGGAGGGGGTGTGCAGGAGGCAGCTGATCGATGTTTCTAACTCTCTATCCCTCTTCCTTTCTCTCTGTAAAACTCAATAAAACATATATTAAAAAATAAATAAATAAAAGTCGGATGTAAAAGCAGAGGGCACGAAAGAAGACAGAAACCCCTAATGGCAGAGCAGAAAGGTTATAACTTCTTAGGACTTACCATATTCTCATTCTGCTTTCTGTGGTCAGATAACAAACATTTGGTTGATCTTTCAATGGGGATTGTTAAAACTGCTGAATAAGCAGGTTGCATAGTACATGCTCACTGAATTGGCCAAGCCCAGTGCTGCAGTGTAGAAGGGTATTTATCATTCCCCTTCTCTAGTTCCACACCCTTCACACGTTCACTACTCTGAGAGAAACCTGTATGAGGGGAAAGCTAGAGAGAAAAAGACCTTAATCTTCTTGAAGGCAAAGTTTAAAAACCTTCAGGATTCTATAATATGAGAAATAGCAAACATTAAAACAAAAACTAAAAACCCAAACTATAATTGTATACCTGGCAATATAAAAATATTAGGGTGAAGTATGGTAGCAACCATACTTAGGTAAAAACTGCTGTTTGGATTTTAATGCTGCTATTCTGGCTTTGGCACTTGCTTATTTGCTCAAACAATAGGGTAGTTGCCTCAGCTTCCAGATCGAGACCTGGAGGCTAAGGTAATTTTCCTGTGCCTGTGGACCAGGACCACAGGACACTGATTCTCACTGACTCAGTTGCTCCAGGAGTTGAAACTGTAGATAACCTTTAGAGATTAAGTTTGCTTAGGTCTGCTTCTGTACTATCTGCTTTCGCAAGATAGGGCCACATTCCAATGTCCAGCAGGATGTGGCTGGGAAGGACTCTGTGGGCAGTTCTCAGCATTTAAAATATAGAATTCAGAACAAAGGAAAATTCTTGTGGTTTAGACCTTTAGAAGGACTGCCTACACCTGCAATGGCGCGGTCATGTGGACTCCACCTGCGTGTGGTGCTCTCGCAGCCATCCCGGCCAGTTCAATAAATCTTTGCCTGCTTTTTAAAATCAATTAGCAGCCTCCAGTGGTCTTATTTTTGACTCCAGGGTTCGACCCCACAACAGGGGTTCTTAGAAAACACTTGTTATCACCACCTCTTTAACCCATTTTAAATACCTCCAGTAGTTCAAATGGCTTGATATGCAGGGTCAACCCTATCCAAAATTGTGACATTTGAAGAAATGTATCTTTAAATGCTTCCCTTTGCATTCTGCCCCATCATGCCTTTCTTTTCTCCTTCACAAGCTCTTCCCTGGAGGAACCTCCCCTCTGGTGAGCAGGAACAAAGGCTTTAGCTCCAACACAAACTCTATACCCAGCTCTAACACATCCTTACTTCCAACAAGGGAGGGCAAGCCAGTGGGACGGGGGCAGTGAAAGAAAGAGGGAAGTAAGTATAAGGAATGCTCTACTTCGGGGAGAAGGTGGCACCTGAGAAGATAACAGAAAGTTCTTGTTTAGAACATATTGGTGCTGAGACATCAGTGAGCATCTAAGTGGAAATGAACTTCAGGTTTCTGGGATGACAGGAGCATGGGAGGGTTGGAGAGAGGGACTGAATATCATCTCCATAAAGTGGGAGGTGTGCAATAGGCTGCTGGGTGTACTGGGCCTGAGTGCATGGCCAGCAGAGCACAGAGTCCTTATGCTTGCTCACGGGGCAACTGCCTGCCACTGGATGACTTACAATACCTACAGTCAGAGCAGTTGTGGCCAGCCAGAAGGTGTTAAAGGTACATTTTGCTCTAAAAACCTATATGACTCTACAAGATAACCTGCTCCACACCCCTAGATAAAGCTATTTTATGACCCTTGCTGGTGCCCAGGCAAGATGAAATTGAGCAAGGAAAGAACAGAAAGGCCTCCAAAGACTCCCTGGTGCTTTGATTTCTTCAGTTGTCCTCTTGGAAGAAGGAAAATGTCCAAATCTGTGCTCTTGTTTAGCAGATAACAATATAATGCGACATATCCATTCAACATTAGCTCAGACAATGTCGAGAAAGTTAGAATTTTCAGCTTGTTATTTCTCTGCCTTTACACTTAATACAATTTCCTCAAAGGACTTTACTCTGGTCAGAGGGAACAAAGGTCTTAACTCTAATATAAACTCTATACCTAGCTTCAACACATGCTTAGCTTCATTTTAAATTTTTTTCCCCCAGTAGTTTCTCTAATAAATATGTTTTCACTCGAGGCCCGATGCATGGAATCCGTGTAAGAGTAGGCCTTCACAGCGCGGGGGCTTCCTTGGATCCTGAGGCTGCAGCCCAGGCTTCGTCTGGAAGGTCGCCTGGAAGGACATCTGGTCTAATTAGCATACTATGTTTTTATTATTATAGATTGATTTCAGAGAAAGGAGGAGGGAGCGAGAGAAACATCAACAATGAGAGAAAATTATTGATCAGCTGCCTCCTGCATGCCCCCTACAGGGGATTGAGCCTGCAACCCAGGCATGTGCCCTGAATGGGAACCAAACCCTGACCTCGTGGTTCATGTGTCAATGTTCAACCACTGAGCAACCCTGGGCGGGCATCCCTCCCCCCACTTCATTTCTTAACTAATTTCTTTATTTCGTCCTTTCTTAATTCCTCTAAAATTTCTCCCCATTCTTTAGCTAATTTTTGCAGCCTCTGTGCCTTTGTTCAAATTTCTCTCTCTCTGCTGGTTCATCTTGCCCCTTCTCCATCATTCATCCCCCACTTACCTTTCAAGACTTTGCAGGCTCAGAGCAAATGTTACCAACTCTGTGAGCCTCTGCCACATCTCTTCCCTTAAGGATTTGTAAGTTCCTTCCTGGCAGAGACCACGTTTTGTTCATCTTTCTATCTTCAGCACCCAAAACAGCGAGTACTCCATGTTTGTTGGGTGGATTAATGAAAGACTTCCTAGTGCTTCCCAGTGATCATGTGGCGTTGAATCCTGCATAGTCCTGCTTTCTGTTTTCCTTCTTTCTAGTAATTGTCTTTCAACATACCACACGATACATTTCCTGAGGGCAGAGACCTTTCTCTTAGTTCGGTGCTGGACAGTGCTTCTGCTGATCTGCCTGTTAGGAGTGCCCGCGGAACTCTTAGACCTGACCCCACCAAACAGTCTTTAAAAGATGTAAATGTTTAACTTGAGAGTTGCACTCCTCCTCTCCAGGGTTCTTCGGAATCAGGATCTCTGGGAGCTGAGCTTTTCTTCCCGTCCTTCCCTGAGGAGACAGAAGGAATCTTAGAAGCTGGGGTAAGAAAGGGTGTTTGGGGAGGGTAGGAATTTGATTTGCTAAATTCCTTAATTGATCCTTTTTAGACCAAATTCTGGTTGTTCTCTGCCTGTACCGGAAGGTCCTAATTTACACAGCAAAAATCTATTGTGTGTGTTTAATGAAATTATACTTTAATGCTTGAAGAGATCACATTAAAAAAAAATTTCATGAGGTCAGTAAACTTTCTGCAAAGTGAAGAACCATCTCAGAATAAGTTTATAAATTTCAATGTTTGTCTATTAGGATTGCTTACTAATACAGTGAGACTCAAAGGTTGCTTTAGTTTATTGATTCTCTCATTTTGTTTTAAAACGTTCTTTATTTAGGATAATTAACTTTCATGCTGACTAGTCTAAGTGTAGGTTTTTTTAATTTAACTAATGAGGAGCTGTCTTAGATGTTCCAAAAACAATTTTTTTTCAAAATATATTTTTATTGATTCAGAGAGGAAGAGAGAGGCAGAGGGGGAGAGAGAGGGGGGGGAGAGAGAGAGAGAGAGAGAGAGAGAGAGAGAGAGAGAGAGAGAGAGAGAGGGAGAGAAACATCAATGATGAGAAAGAATCATTGATCAGCTACCTCCTGCATGCCCCTCACTGGGGATCGAGCCTATAACCCAAGCATATGCCTGACCAGAATCAAACCCTGACCTCCTGGTTTATAGATTGATGCTCAACCACTGAGCCACGCCAGCCAGGACAAAAACAATGTTTGTGTTACAATATAGTCAGGAACTTGAAAGCCTGTTAATCTTTGTTTTCTCAGCAATATGCTGGGATGTGGAGCCTTCCCAGCCCTCTGCCTCTCTTTCTGTCTTCTCACTGGGCACAGGTCAGTGGGGCCTCTACCAGTTAACAGGAGTATTGCCCTCTGACTCTTTAAGGAACTAATGGGGACCTGAATGAACCACTGATTCATTTCAGTCCTTCCTGGCCTTTATTTCTCTTTTCCCTCCTTGCCTATTCACAATAGGAAATAGAAGTCTGTATTTCATTATTTATTATATTAAAATTATGTTTCTGGTCTTCCCAATTTTCAGTTTTTAAAGAAATTAGCTAAACCTCTAAAGATTTTTAGTTTTTTTTTGTTTTTTTTTTTCCTTTGGGTAACTGGCCCTAAAATTTCTCCCTAGTCCCACATTACAGAAGGCCAATCTTTCAGCCTTGGCCCTGGATTTGTTTTTCAGTTGAGGAGAACAGGAGATGGAGAAAACAAGTGGAAGAGAGGCCATTGCTTTGTCCACAACGGAGACTGGCACAGAGAACCCAGCGCTGGAGCTCGCGGTAATGCGCCAGTTTAGTTTTTGCAGAGCTATCTGGTCTGCTGTGCAGCCTCCTGTAGGGTCTTTGGCTGCTCACAATCCCCATCACCTCTGGCAGGGCCCTATGACTGACCCCAGCTCTGCCTGTGCTTATAGGAAGAAGGAATAAATCCTGAGGGAGCCAGGAGGACTGAAGAGCAAGGACAAAGCCTCTCGGATGGGCTGGGGCCTTCCACTCACCACAGGTATGTGTATTCTGGAACTGGTTCAGTTAAGGCCTAACGAGCTAGGGTGGGTTAAGCGTGGCCACTGGACTCAGGAAGCTCATGGTCTTATTGTGGCGATAAGATTCACAGCCACCTGATGTTACCATAGGCACAACTGTTTGTATCTAAACATGTGCCATATATAATAGGAGTTGGTTGGACTGACAACAAAAATAACAACAATGAGAATAGTAACAGCTAACATTTATTGAGTACTCATTATTGTGTAGAATGCTTTATGTAATTAATTTAATTTTCACAACAGGTGGATATTAATTTTAATCCCCCCCTTTTTTTAAAAATAAAATAGAAAAATGAGGCTTAGAAATTAACTTACCCATATCACTAAAAGAAAAAATAAACAAACAAAAACCTCTTCTGGAATACTCAATTTTGGGGATGGGAAGAAAAATCAGAAAGAGAAAAAAAGGCAGAGAGGGACCACCATGAGGGATAATAGTGAAAGTAAAAATATAGAGCCTTGAAAGTCAAAAGGAAAGGAAGTATCAAGAAGGAAGGCACAGTTCATAATATCTGAACAGGCAGGGGTCAGGGAAGTAGGAGTGAGAGAAATCTTTGAATTTGCTATGGATTTGGTCCCAGAAGTAATGTCTAAGAAAGTTGTTTTGGATAAAGTGGGTCAGATGGAAACCATGTTGCATGGTGTGGAAAAGGACTGGATATTTATTTAAAAAGAAGCTTAGAAGCTTAAAAGAGGCTGCTGAATCCTAAACACAGAGCTATTTTTGTTTGTTTTCTTTTCTTTATTTTTAAGAATTAACTCAGTGACTTCACAGAGAAAACAAGCTTAAAATTTTAAATTCTACTTTCTTCAGAAAGTCACTTTTGTATACAAATTGACATATATCAACATGGACATGGCTGGTCCAAGTGCAATGATGCCTACAATTAATTGATCACAGACAGTTACAGATTTTGTGCTGGCCAGTGTGGCTCAGTTGGTTGGGTGTCATCCCATGCATCAAAAGATTGCCAGTTCCATTCCTATCAGGGCGCATGCCCTGGTAGGGGGCATGCCAGATGTTTCACTGTCATAGCAATGTTCTCTCTCTCTCTCTCTCTCTCTCTCTCTCTCTCTCTCTCTCTCTCTCGCTCTCTCTCAATAGAATTGACAAGTTTTAGTGATTAAAGGTCAACCATTTTCAGGACACACACTCAGCCCCATCTTTATCCTCTCTTACTTTTGTTCTTGGTTCCTCAAGAAATCCTTAATCTGATCTTGCAATGTAAACTAACTTTAGCTTCTCTTTCTTTTCATTACTCTTTCTGAATTTAGCTATATATATATATATATATATATATATATATATATATATATATATATATTGTATCTGCAAAAATACACACACACATTTTGAATAATTATAAAGGCAGAGTTTATTAAAATACATTTTACTTTCAAAATTGAGCTATTAGCTGTTAAAGTGTCTATACATTTTTCATATTGCATCATTATCCATTCACCCATTGATGGGCTGAAATAAACATGGGAACACATACATCTCTCTAATATTTTGTTTTCATTTCCTGTGGCTCCTATGGGTATATACCCAGAAGTGAAATTACTGAATAATATGATAGATCTATTTTCAAATCCATATTATTTTCCATAGTGATTGAACCAATTTACATTCTTACCAATACTGTACAAGGGTTTCCTTTTCTCCCCATCCTTGTCAACACTAGTTATAATCTTGTCTTTTTTGTGACAGCCATTCAAACAGGTGTGAAGTTATAGCTCATAGTGGTTTTTATTTTCATTTCTCTGATGATTACTGATGTTGAGCATCTTTTCATGTACTTGTTGACCAATTGGATATCTTCTTTGGAAAAATATCTATTCAATTCCTCTCTCCATTTTAAAATCGGATTGTTTCTTTTTTCTTTTGCTATTGAGTTGTATGAATTCTTCATATATTTTGGATACTAATCTCTTATGCAATATATGATTTGCAGAAATGTTCTCTCATTCTGTAGGCTTCTTTTTTTCCATTCTGTTTCTTTTGCTATGCAGAAGCTTTTAAGTTTGATGTAGTCCCACTTGTTGATTTTTTGCTTTTTATTTTTGTGCTTTTGGTGTTATATCCAGAAAATTATCACCAAGATTTATGTTAAGGAGCTTCTTTACTTACGTTTTCTTCTAAGAGTTTTACGATGTCAGGTCTTATGCTTAAATCTTGGGTCCATTTCAATTTAATTTTTGTGAGTGGTATAAGATAGGTCAATTTTGTTATTGTGCATGTGATTATCTAGTTTTCCCAACATATTTGTTGAAGAGACTATTTTCCCCCATTGGGTGTTCTTGATTCCCTTGATGAATATTAGTTGATTGTATATGTGGTAATTTAATTCTGAGCCCTCTATTCTGTTCTATTGGTCTATGTGTCTTTTTATGACTAGAGGCCTGCTGTATGAATTTGTGCACAGGTGGGGTCCCTTAACCTGGCCGGCAATCAGGGCCAACAGGGGGTGGAGGGGAGAGGGACCCCAAGAGGTTGGCTGGCTGCGGGAGGTTGACTGTGTGAGAACACTGACCACCAAGGGCAGCTCCTGCATTGAACACCTGCCTCCTGGTGGTCAGTGGGCATCATAGCTACTGGCCAGTCATCCAGTTGTAATGGTTGCTTAGGCTTTTATATATATATGTCATACTATTTTTATTATTATAACTCTGTATTATAGTTTGAAATAAAAAAGTATGATATCTTTAGCTTTTTTTTTTTTTCAGGACTGCTTTGGCTATTTGGGGTCTTTTGTGGTCTCATACAAATATTAGAATAGTTTTTTTCTATTTCTGTGAACAATGCCATTGGTATTTTGATGGGGATTGTGTTGAATCCATAGATGGCTTTGGGTAGTATGCAAATTTTAACAATATTAATTCTTCTGACTCATAAACATGAGATCTCTTTCCATGTTATTTTTAATGCCTTTCCTCTTGTTATGTCCTTTCTTTTTTCTATGCTTTTCTTTAGGTTGATTTAATATTTTAAATGATTCCATTTTATCTTCTTTGTTGGTCTATTAGATATAACTCTTTTTTGTTATATTAGTGCTTGCTTTAGTGTTTATAATATACCTTCAACTTATCAAGTATACCTTCAAGTGATATTATATCCTTTCATGTAAAGTATAAGAACCATATAACAGTATATTTCTGTATCTCTCCTTCCAATCTTTATACTACTATTGTTTATGTTTATACATCTTACTTCTATATGTTATAAACTCCATACTACTATTTTTGCTTAAATACTAAATTATCTTCCTATATGCTTCAACTTAAATGTACCTGCACCTGCATGAATCCTTATCTTTCCTCCTCCTTTATCAGAAGGTCTACTTTCCCTAAGTCTGAAGCCAACTTCATTATCATCCTTCTCTACCCTCTTCTACAGAGCCCTCTTTCCCCTACATCTTCAGTTACTCCTCTGTTAGACCTTTCCTCAATCTATAAGTGTACTCAAGCCTTTTTCTTCTTATAATAAGCAAACAAACAAATCAACCTTATGATATCTTTTTCCTTCATGGCAAAGTTTCTTGGAAAAGTGGGATTTATTTGCAACATAATTTTCTCACATGTCCATTCACTTTTCAGTCCCTCATAACCTAGTTTTCACTACCACTGGTCAGCTGAAATTCTCTTACTCAGATGTGCAATGAAAACCTACTTATCAAGTTCAATGTGCACACACTTTTAATGGAAATCTCTGCAGCATGACCTTCTGACCCTTTCCTTCCTTGAAACGAATGTTTTGATTTCAATGACACTACACCCTCCTTATTCTCCTACCTTTCTGGATAGTCTTTATTTTAGTTTTCCGGAGTCTGTCACTTTTCTTCTCTTCTCACTCCTACATGTAATGTCTTGATTTATAAAACCACATCTGAAGTCTGTACCTTTGTTCTAAGCTTCAGCCCTATACATCTAACCATTTGCCAAACAGCTAAACCCTTAGATATCACATAGATACTTCAAATTAAACATTCAAACCAAACTCCTATCAGCATAGGTTTGAGGCTTTTATACCACTTCAGGTGCCAGGTTGGGCTCTAGGCACACAAAGATGAATAAATTCACATTTTTTCCTCATGCCAGTTTCTCCTTAGGTCTGTTCCTCCTCCTATGTTCTCTATTTTGGTGAATAACTAAGGCATGCGTGGCAGGAACCTCATTATCATCCCAGTTTTCCTCCACTTGATATGAATCCTCTCTCCTAAACTTCTGTGCCATTCACCCCTCATATCAATCTCCCCCTGCACCCTCAGTTACTTCCTTTATGGCCCTAGTCTATCTCCCGCCCCACTGCCATCAGTGTGATCTTTCTAAAACGCACATTTGCTCACATTATTACCTTGCTTACATTCTGCAATGGCTATCCATTTTCTACAAGATAATACCTGAATTCCTAACCATGGCATATAATCTCTATGTCCTGGCTTCTGACCTCTTGTACCAGCTTTCTTCCCACCATCCATCTACATACTCCCTGCTTCCCAGAGACTGAAAAATCAGCTGTTTTTTTCAAAATGCTAGACTCACTCAGGTATGCGTTTCTTCTTCTGGAGATTCCCCAGCCTTCTCTTCTAACTGCCTGCAACACACCCACTTAGCAAACTGCTTCCCTTTCCTCTCATAGCAGTTCACCGCTCCTCTCCTTTGTGAAAGCTTCTTCGGCAATCACAGGCATGGTTCTTTTCTCCTGCTCTCTTAGTAATTACACATTTTGAATTCTAGTTGTGTACATAATCCTCTGAAATTCTATAAGTAGAAGCCACATGGAGTAATGGAAAAGTCTTGATTTAAATCCTAACTCTGCCACCTACTGGCAGGCTCAGTTCCCTTGCCCATACATCTAACTAACTTTGTGGTTTGGGGGAGGATGATTGGTGAGGTCTGGTAAAAGGTGCTTAATAAATAGCATCTGATTTTTCTTTTCTTACAGACAAACTTTTTTTTTTTTAAAGTAGTTCATATATGCTCACATTCACTCAATCCCCTGCAATTCCGCTTTTACCCAGTCACTCTCCTGTAATTGCTCTCTCCGACAGAACCAGTCACCTCTTCACTGCTGAATCTAGCATCTTCTCATTTGCTTCGCCGCTTGATTTTATCATTGAATATCATTGACCTCTTCTCCTGCCGAAAGATCATTTCTCTTTTTTTACTTTTTCTCTTAGCTCTCAAACTGCTCCTACTAAGTCTGCTGTGTCTTCTGGCTGCCCTATCAGAGTGGCTGTTCTGACTTCCGGGGAGGATGGTGGTAAGCCTGGTAGGGATGGGTGAGGACAGCAAGATTGGTAGGTGGCTGTGAACTATACAAGTTACCAGGAGGGAGGTTGGGAAGGGTGCCTGCAGCCCATGTTACATGCCAGTACCATTCCCAAGTGAAGAATTTTAGGCATCCCTTCCTTACTGGAAGCTTCTCTGCACTCCTCTTTGTTTTATTTCTCATTAGGGCCTGAACCTGATATCGATAGCTGAATGAGCTAGAGTTCTTTTGTCTTCAAATTCCTATGGAAATCTTTTTAAAAGGTGTAAATAGGGACAAACTGTATTAGCACAGGAAGCCCATAATAGGCCTTAACCATATATCAGAAACCAGAAGAAACTTCTGCTAACAACAGAACTAAAGGGCCTGGCTCAAAAGGCCATTGAAGGTAGTAATGACTCTCCCTGATGAGAGAGGACACTTCACCTGGGAAGACTTCACTGTCTGTCAGAACCACTACTACCTCTGACTTGGACAGAACAGAGTTCTGGATTGAAGAAGAGGGTGGATTGAAGGGCTAGTTAGAAATCCCATCACATAGGTCCTTCCTGTCTTAGTGTGAACTGATTTTTCTGCTATCAGAAATGGCCACATCAAGCAGGGATTTGGATACAGGAAGAGTTCTTTCTAAGACGATACATCCATCACAACTCAGCCACTAAGCACCTGGCTGTGTTCTGGTTTAGATTCCCTTCTCACTCTACCTGGGCTGATGGGTCTCAGAACTGGTAATCCCCAGGTGCACAGAGTCTGCTTCCAATGTAAGTTTTCTGGCTTCCCTCTTGCCTTCCTGGGTTTTCAAACTCCTGGTTGGCTTTCCACTTTGGCTTATTGATAAGTTTTTTTGTTTCTCAGACTCAGTCACTATTCTCCCTTGGACACTTTTGATAACTTCTCAAACCCAGCTCTCCTTGCCCATCCAGTTTGAAACTAGTTGTGTACATAATTTTGAATCTGGCAAAGTGTTATAGTACCCGTGGACTAGTTCTTTTTATATCATCCTATTTAATAAAGAGGGAATATGCTAATTGACCCTCATACCGTTGCAAAAGATGGCAGCACCTACAGCCAATAAGGAGGGGATATGCTAATTGCTGCCACACCCTCAAAGATGGCACAAAATGGCGGCACCCAGTCCCTTCAGTCCCACTGGGGCGGCTCTGCATGCTTGCCTCTGAATCCCTCAGTCTTCTCAGCCCCTTAGCTGCCCAAGGCTAAGGTGAAGGCCCGAGGTGAAGGCAAGCCTCAGATGGTGGCTCCCTAGCCGCCCAGGGCAGTCCCAAGGCACAGATAACCAGGGCCAGCCAAGGCTTGCGCTGCTGGCAGTGGCAGCAGCAGAGGCATCATCTCCTGATTGCCAGGTCGCCTCCTACTCCTGAGGCTCCCAGGCTGTGGCCTCTAGTCATTAAATAAATCCCTTAATCCTCAAAAAGATTCTGATTACTTCTGCCGGGAGGCCCTCACTCTTTACTCAGACCATCATTTGGTTCTGGGTTGACTCATTTCCTTTCTTTTTAGTTCTTCAAGCTAGAGCAGCAGATTCACCGAGGACCACAACAGATTTTGAATTTCTGAAATTCTGAGATAGATTTTCAGAAAGCTGTCCTAAGCTTTCTACTCTAATTGAGAAATGATAGTACCCAGACCTTAGGAGTTTCCATAATTCTATTTCCCTTAATAAGGAGAGTTTCCTCATGATGTGGATAGGATCACTGGGAAAATGCATGCATACTCTTACTAGTAGGCCCGATCTGTAATGTCTTCTAATGTTATGTTCAGCTAGCATGACCTATCATCCTTACCTTACTCTTTCTTGCTTTGTCACTTGAGGCTGCAGGCAGTAAGCATATAAGTGAGAGGGTTATTGTTAGTCCACATCTGGAAAGCCTCCCATGTAGAGCTTACCAGTGGGTACATACTGCAAACAAGTTATGGGCGAGGTATTGAATTTCAGCATCTATCAAGTAGATTACTTCTAAATTCAGCTTCCTGATATAACATAGTACTAACCCTCAAACGGTACCATTATGTAAATAAAGAGCTTGGTGGTATTAGCAAGATCCTGGGCCAAGCAGGATGCCAGGATCATGAACACCTGCTCATATGCTTTTGTGCACTACTTCTCAATTGGTTCCTCTTTTCAGTTGGATGTCCCTCATGGCTTTCCTTTCTATTTTTATTTTATTATTTATTTATTTATTTATTTATTTATTTATTAAAATATATTTTATTGATTTTTCACAGAGAGGAAGAGAGAGGGATAGAGAATTAGAAACATTGATGAGAGAGAATCATCGATCAGCTGCCTCTTGCACACCCCCTACTGGGGATGCGCCCGCAACCAAGGTACATGCCCTTGCCCGGAATCAAACCCGGGACCTTTCAGTCTGCAGGCTGACGCTCCATCCACTGAGCCAAACCGATCCCGGCTCTATTTTTATTTTAATTTTTTAAATCAGAGATCCAATTCCAACTTGATATTCTAGAACCAGGTTGTTAATGGGTTTTGCAGAAATGAGTGTTCTTCATTGATTTCTGGTAGAACCCACTGAACTTCAGATCCCAGAAAATCATCAAGTCTGATTACAAGGTGATGGCAAAAACCTTTTCCAGGCATGCGACTTATTCACTCTTGAACTAGTGCATGCCCACGCTTATTTTGCAGTGGCCTTGCTGATCTGGCATCTGACTGGGTACATTTTATACCAGCTTTACCTAGTGTATCAGTTTGAGTACCAACAGGAAACAAATGGAATACTTAAGTTAGGATAATGAGAAAAGGGCTTATTTGCAAAGAGACAATTACAAAGATGTGTGTACGATGTAGCGAAACCACGGGAAGGACAGTGCAGAACCTGAGGCCAGCAGCAGTTAACCATTACTATCGTAGGTCGAAGGGACAAGATGTAAGAGGACCTAAGAGAGTCAGATGAAGAAGACCTCAGTACGTGACCTCAGTCTTTTCTTACACTCTGATTCCCTCCTGGTAGAACCCAAATAGGTAAACCAGAGGGCATGGGAGCCTATAGGTGTGGTCCACAGGGTAAGACTCCCTGGGCACAGTGCAAGGTGGAGAGTGGATCTAGAGGAGCGAATCAAATATACCTGGCACATGAAGGGAGACTAGGATTAAAATTAAATTTGTTCCTTGATGTGCTTTGTGAATGACGTTCCAAAGATAATGATGTCCTTTGGGTATTTGACACTTCTAAGCAATCCTTTTTACTCACTACATTCTTTATTAATCCGGGAAAGGTAGCAGAGTTCTTGAGATCCTAAGGTATCCTCTTGAATTGATTCAGTTAGGCAGTGATAAAGATGGTTTTGTCCTTTTTTCAGATTATCTATATCTGCTAATACACATTCCATTCTGCTGACACAGGGCTGCGAGGAGAAAGCGGAGGAGGAGGGGGGAGTGAAAAGAAAGGCTTATAATGAAGAATGAGTGTGTTATATGGGAAAGGCAGCAACGGAGAAGGATATTTTCCATTGATTGTTAGAAAGAGTGGAAGGAATGGGGAGATACAGAGAGAGAGAAACATCCATGTAAGAGAGACATCACCAGAATCAAACCTGGGAACCTTCAGCCCGAAGGCTGGCCAACACTCTATCCACTGGTTAGGGCTGGAAATTAGAGTTTTTGCTCAAATGTCTGCAGTGTGCTGATGATACTGAGGAATGTCAGACAGGCGAGCCTGGAATCTAGGTAAAATAATGATGAGGAGTTCAGATTCTGAAGCCAGATTGCCTGAGTTCACATTCTGTCTTTACTCCTTAGAGCTTCCAAGACCTTGGGAAAGTTACTCAACTTCTGTTTTCCACATCTATAAATAGGAATGATAATAGTAGCACCTCAAACATTCTTAGGAGGAGTCAACAAGTTACTATTGGTAAAGTTCTTGGAAAGAGCCCAGCACATAGACAGGGCTATATAAATGTTAAATCAAATTTGAATAGTCCTCCCTGTTGGGCATCTTCTCTCAGTCCCTGCCCACCCAGGGGTGATTGGTGTTTTCCTTCCGGTTTGTCAATGCACATCTGATTGGCTGTTCAGAGTGATGGGCTTGTGCGGTTTTTAGAAAGGAATGGACAAAGCTGCCACTCAGAAGAAAGGCCCTTTTCTGAATCTGGAAACTGGGCAATGCCTGATCCCCGGGGAACAGGAAAGGAATGGGTCCCAGGAGTCTCTCCCTGATATGAGTGTCCACCTCTGTGGTAGAAGATCACTGAGATATTGCCAGTCTGGGTTGGGTGGGGTTATTCTGAGCTACTGCCCATTGCGATGGGCCTCTGGGGCATTGCCGAAACACTTCCTAATGTCCCCCCTGGCTGAATAATTTCCTCACGGAGAAGAGAAAATTCTTCCTCCGGCCAGGTCATCTAAGGTCTGGAATTGACACAACTGGGATGGAGTAACTTTCGTATCTTAATATTTGGATTCTCATCAGGAGGAGACTACTACAACCTTTCACCAGGGCAAGAAGTTTCTGCAAAACACATGCCAGCCTATTCAAGAAGATCCTGCTGGGCCTGTTCTGTTTGGGTGAGGTGTTGAGAATTCCTGTAAGCGAGAGACACCTTATTTTAGGAATGTGACCTTGTGTCAAGATGTTTCTAAATGGGATACAACTTTATTCACAAACTGATCTTTTCTATGTGATGTATAGATCTGAATTATTTATAAGTAAATAATCTGAACTATGTTTATTGAGTTGCACTTCTAGGAATAAGTAAAATCTGAGCATAAACTATTTTTCAAAATTATTTGACAGACTTAAATATTTCAGAGAATCTGGGCATGTGTCTGTTTTAGTGTCTTGATTCAAGGTAGGGCATGGACTTTATAGTCTTTATAAGAGAAACCTGTAGTATACATTACTTATTTGCTAGTAAGATCAATAATAAAATATTTTAAAATATATTTTATTGACTCTTTTTTTTTTTTTTTTTTTTTTTTTTTTTTTTTTTTTTTTTTTTTTTACAGAGAGTAAGGGAGAGAGATAGAGCGTTAGAAACATCAATGAGAGAGAAATATCAATCAATGTGCCCACAACCACGGTACATGTCCTTGACCAGAATTGAACCTGAGACCCTTCATTCTGCATGCCAATGCTCTATCCACTGAGCCAAACCGACTAGGGCTAAAATATTTTTTAAAACAGCAAACCTCTTTTTAATATATATTGTCAGTGATGTATGGGATTTTGATGTCAATATTAGAGGCAGCTGGGATGATGAGAATGAAAATCATATTTGGAAGTCAGTCAAGGAGCTATGGGATGAGGACTGTATAGTAAGTTCTCACTTAACATTGTTAATGGGTTCTGTCACTTTCAGAGGAGTACTGTATAATGAACCAATTTAACCAGAGGCTAATTGATATAAACAAGAGTTAAGTTCCTATGGCATTTTACCAATATTATAATGAAAGACACATTTTGAGGACCTGATGTTCTTCCTAGTGTTCATATGGTTTTGCTCAAGAGAAAAGGTTAAAAGCTTTAGAAAAGATGACTTTTGAAATGTTTAACGGTGGATACTGATCAAATGCACTTCAAATTTACGCTGAAAAAAGGATATCAGAGTAAATCCAAGGGAGTTAATGAAAGATAAGTGAAAAGATGCAGTATACAAACTAAGTCAGACTCTCCCTGTGTATCCTCAAGAAGAAACCAGCCATCCAGCTTGGCCTTGAGAACTGTGGCTCCGTTTGAGACTGGAGGGTTTTTCTTGCTTTAAGTCCCAGACATTCGTGGCTAGAACTTCATTTGCCCCTGAGGAACTCTGACTTGTTGGTCCTTACTCTGCCTCTTTTCCTTTTAGCTTATGCTGCCTACTTCCTGGCAGCCTGCATCTTGGATTTCCAGAGGGCACTGGCCTTGTTTGTCCTCACCTGCCTGGTGCTCTTGGTCCTGGTTCACCGCACTCTGAAAAGGTTGTTTGGTAAAACATTAACCAAATGTCTGAAGCCCTTTGAAAACTCCTGCCTGAAGCGTTGGATGAAATGGTGAGTTAAGAATCTCAGTATCCCTGGTCGCTCAAACTTGTCCACCTTTCTTCTCTGACAGTTCCTGAGCTGCCTCTCAGACCCGCCCCTACACTGTTCAAAGTCAATGCTCAGAGAGCAAATAGCAACAGGCCTCGTGTATCAACATTGCTAGGGGGCAGGAAGGGTTAAGTTTCAGAGAGGAGTTTCCATCCATTTATTGTCAGGGTTCATGACAGAAATAAGGAAAACCATACTTTTCTGCAATGAAGTAATCAAAACAAAGAGGCTTCTAGCCGCATTAAGCTACCAAATTGATTTGGTGGTCATATGTGTCTCCTTAATTCCCTGATACTTTTTTTTTTTCTAGTCCCCTAGACTTCTCACTCCCCACCAGGGTCTTTTGCAGTTCCTTAGAGCTTAACCTGCAAACTTACTGTTTAATAAACACTGAACTGAATTTTATAGCAGCCATAGTTCATCTAACTAACTATATAGCATATACATGTTCTTTGAACACAGGCCTGGAGTGACAGAATAACTTTTAGACTCTATAGAGAGTTCCTGTCTTCTGCCTATTCTCCAATGGACACATAGAGAATGGAGTTAAGAATGTTTGCAACAGCAATTATTTGGAGAAACACACCAGTCTGCAACCTAAATTTTGGATCATTGATTTGACACTGAGGAGACAATGCTAAAATGACACTATCCATTAGCAGGATAGATTCTAGAAGCCAAATTTTATTCACTTTAAGCGAGAAGAATTCACAGTAAGAACAGCTCCACAATTCATCCCTGCCTTGTTATCCTTGTTGTTCCTGAGGCATCTCAATGGACAAATTACTCTTTTTGTTTTGCTTTCTTTTCATAAGTCTCTCCCTTCTAATTCTTTCCCCTGGAACTGAAATGACACCAACACTCAGACGTGAGGAAACCAGTCTGTGTATTGACCCAGCATGTCTGGTTCATCAAGGGACCATAAGACCATAGGGGTTGGTTTGTGGCTTAGCCTTTACTCTTGCCCTCGGAGTGGTTGGAAATTGCCTGAAGATTCATGGGGAGGACCATGCATACTTTTTTTTCTTTTAAAAATACTTCGGTTTTTCATGAGTGCAAGCTTAAAGAATGAGTCTTTATATCACATCTTACTGACATGGAAGCTTGAGGAAAGGAACTCAGGCTGGACTCTTTCAGCTTCATTTTGTGAGTACAAGGATTGGAGAGAGAGCTGCTCGCTAGGAAACTGCCTGATGAATGATTCTCAAGAGATGTCTCTGTGTCTAATCTATTGAGTTATTTCATTTACCCTTGGGGTGAACTTCTGTTTTTTAGAGGGAAGGTTAATTATTTGTTATTCATTCACTGAGTTGATGATATGGTGTTGGCATTCCCTCTTTAGGGTGTTTGCTGGAGTCGCCTTGGTTGGCCTCATCCTGTGGCTAGCTCTAGACACAGCCCAAAGGCCAGAGCAGCTGATGTCCTTTGCAGGAATCTGCATGTTCATCCTCATCCTCTTTGCCTGCTCCAAACACCACAGTGCAGTGAGTTTGGGGTATTCAGGGTGGGCCAAGGGCTGTGTGTTACTGATTACAAAGTACATGTGTCAAGTATTGATTACAAAGACATAGAACTAAGCTCTTTAGAATCTCCAGAATTTTTTTTTAATGATTTTGCTCCTAAGGCAAGTTTTAAAGTTCTCAGAGGCTGTAGACCACTTATTTTCAAATGATAGGCTATAATCCATTAATGAGCCTTGATGGATCTAAGCCAGTGTTAAAGAAAGAACAACAACAACAAAAAAAAGTAAAGAAAGAAAAGAGAATACAATAAAGAATCGACTTGCATTGCACATAGGAATATTAAAGTATTGGTTATGATGCTTTTATTTGTATACTAGAGGCCTGGTGCACAAAATTTGTGCACTGGGGAGGGAGGAGGGATCCCTCAGCCTGGCCTGTGCTCTCAGTTGGACATTCTTAGCACTGCTACAGAGGCGAGAGAGGCTCCCACCACCGCCCTGTGCTCACCAGCCTTGAGCCTGGCTTATGGCTGAGTGGCACTTCCCCTGTGGGAGTGCATTGACCCCCAAGGGGCAGCTCCCACACATCAAAGTGATCAGTTGTTCTGCCATTCAGTCTATTTGTATTTTAGCCTTTTATTATATAGGATTATTATATAGGATATGTATATATGCATGTGTGTCATCTAACCTGCAGACACAGTTTTAAAAACCATATGGACATATGTGGCTCTTTAGATATTATCCCACTCTGTTTTCCCCTGCTCCCTACTCCATCTTACCCTAGATTTCCTGTTAACATCCTGGTTGGTTTCATCCAGTACCATGAATACATGTTTAAAACTTCAACCAGATAATGGACAAGTAGGGTTTAGGACTCACATAGGAATAACGTGAGTTCTTATTGGTCGCAGGTGTCCTGGAGGACGGTGCTTTGGGGCCTGGGTCTTCAGTTTGTCTTTGGGATCTTGGTCATCAGAACTGATCCTGGATTTAGTGCATTTCAGTGGCTGGGAGACCAGGTTCAGGTATGAGAAATTGAATGTGAGGGCTCTGCTCTTTTAGAGAAAGGAGATCTGAGTGGGGAGGGGGGACACTTGCAGAGATTGGACTATGTCTTTTTAATGATGGTGCTGAGAGATCTGGTGGGGGAAAAAAAGTATACAATAAAGGGTATAATTAATCATATGAATAAAGAACTGTGAGAGATACATTCAGTAACAGAAGTAAGACCTAATCATGCCTGGCCTCACTCTGTTCTCTCTCTCCCCCTCTCTCTCTTTTCTTTCAGATTTTCCTGAGCTACACAGTGGCTGGCTCCAGTTTTGTCTTTGGGGATACGCTGGTCAAGGATGTCTTTGCTTTTCAGGTCGTTATCTGTTTTGTAGGCAGGAATGAGGGTCCTTGTCAGGGGAGGTGTAAAGCAGAGCATAAAAATGTGTGCCCAAAAGATCAGCCAGTCTACATACCAATTTGACCCTAAAACGAGGATCTGACCCCATCAGTAGAAGGAACAGCATCAATCTCCCACCTTTTGGTCATTACCATACTGACACTGGAATAAAATAGGAATGGAGGAGGAGGGCTCCTTGTGGCTTGGTACTAATGGGATAATAGATATAATATATTTAAATTTATTCCTAAGCTAGCTTGTGTTAAAAAGATCCACTGAGTATCTATACTGTGTCAGCTGCTCTCGGAAGACTGAGAGTTAATTTAGAGGCCTGAAGCATAGTCCATCTATGGCATCCATGAGCACATTTGAACAGTAGTCCCTCTTATCTGTGAGGGGTACATTCCAAGATTCCCCCAACCCCCAATGGATGCCTGAAACCAGTTATTACCAAACTCTATAAATATTGTTTTTCCCCCTATAAAGAAATACCTTTGATAAAGTTTAATTTATAAATTAGGCAATTTCACAGATAGAAGATTTATTCTTACCATAGATCTTAGCAACCTTACCATATGATTTTTTTTCCTTCTTACTGAGAATGTTTACTTTTTCTCTTTCTCTTTTTTAAAATATATTTTATTGATTTTTTACAGAGAGAAAGGGAGAGAGATAGAGAGCTAGAAACATCGATGAGAGAGAAACATCGACCAGCTGCCTCTTGCACACCCCCTACTGGGGATGTGCCCGCAACCAACGTACATGCCCTTGACCGGAATCAAACCTGGGACCTTCCAGTCCGCAGACCGATGCTTTACCGCTGAGCCAAACCGGTTTCGGCTACTTTTTCTCTTAAAGGAAACACTTTATGAATTACCAGCATCACTACTCTTGTGCTTTGGGGCCTTTAAATAAAATAAGGGTTCAAGGGTTACTTGAACACAAGCACCTGAGATACAGTGACAGTGTATCTGATAACCTAGACAGCTACTAAGTGACTAATGGGCTGGTGGCTAGTGTAAACAGTGTACACACTAGATAAAGGGATGATTCATATCCCAGTCGGGACAGATCAGGATAGTACGAGGTTCTATCATGATATTCACAATGGCGCACAATTTAAAACCTAAGAATTGTTTACTTCTTAAATTTTCCATAACATATTTTCTGACCATGGTTGATGATCGGTAATCACAGAAAGTGAAACCACAGATAAGGGGGGTGGGCGTCTATTGTAATATCTCATTAGTAGCCTGTCATTTTCTTTTTAGTCCTTACCGATCATCATTTACTTTGGATGTGTGATGTCCATTCTCTACTACCTGGGCCTTGTGCAGTGGATAGTTCAGAAGGTGAGTCATTCTCTTACACCACTAAGGGTGGGGGGGGGGGGAAAGGGGTGCTTTCATCTTGTGATCTGTCAAGAAGCGTGAACATGACACTCACTTTGGGAAAATGCTCCCATGTAGGATTTAGATGTTAGAACCAGTGTGAAAAGGAAAACTCACGTATGCCTGATGTCGGATGGTCAGGCCCAGGCTCTAGGTAGGCTGAGGAGCAGAGCAGGAAGAGAAAATGGGCTAGACTGCCATTTCATACTGAGTTTTAGTCTACTAGTTCTGAAAGCCAAGAGTCCTGAGTTCTGGTCCAGGCTCTGTAATTTGCTTTGTGGCCTTGGGCTTATCACTCCACTTCTCCAGGCTTTAGTCTCCTTACTAGTAAATGGAGAAGGGAATGGGGGCCGGGGGGAGGCTTACTAGATACTCGCCAAGATTTTCACTAATGTTAACGGTTTAGGTCTTTGTATCCCTTTAGGTTGCCTGGTTCTTACAAATTACCATGGGCACCACCGCCACAGAGACCCTAGCTGTGGCAGGAAACATCTTTGTGGGTATGGTAAGTACTCTGAGGCCTTCTGATCATTTTTTCCCCCCTGGGGAATACATGATGTGGCAGAAAACAGGTTGAGAAAAGTATGTTTTCCATCTGAAAAGTCAAGTAAATGAGATGTATGGGCAGTTAATCACTGATGAAAGAAAAACTCAGAAGTTCAAAGGAAACTCAGCTTACTGCTTTTACCCTTCATCTGTAATACAACTACTTGCCTGGGTATACTTAGTTTGGACATCCTTAACCACTGATCCAACTTTTTAAAAAAATATATATATATTTTATTGATTTTTTACAGAGAGGAAGGAAGAGGGATAAAGAGTTAGAAACATCGATGAGAGAGAAACATCGACCAGCTGCCTCCTGCACACACCCCACCGGGGAGCTGCCTCCTGCACACACCCCACCGGGGATGTGCCCGCAACCAATGTATATGCCCTTCACTGGAATTGAACCTGGGACCTTTCAGCCCTCAGACTGACACTCTATCCACTGAGCCAAACTGGTTTCAGCTTAACAAGTACTTTTAAAGCTACTAATATATACTCAGGAAATACAATGTATTTCATAAGATCATTCATTAAGTACATCAGGTCCTCAAATAATGTATGGACAAAAAGTATTTAGTTTAATTTTATTTCAATATAAAGTTGATAAGATGCCATAGGAATTTAACTTTTGTTTATATCAATTAGTCTATGGTAAAATTGGTTTCATTATACAGTCACAGAACATATCAACATTAAGTGAGGACTTACTATAGCTGATTTTAGGTATGGAGAAAAAAAATATACCATTCCCCTTCCATAGCATTTTAGAATTTACATAAATAAGATAAACATGTATGAGAATCAATGATAACAATACCAACCAGGATATGATTAGGTGCCAGAGAGAGGGAGGCAGATGCTGGGAGGGCCTAAAAGCAGAGCTCTGTCCTGGAAGGGCATTCACACTAGAGGGATGTGTCCCTGGGCTGGGTGGGCACTCTGGGGTGGAGAGTCACATCCTCTTGAATCTGACTCGCTTCTCCCGTTCACAGACAGAGGCCCCTCTGCTCATCCGTCCATACCTTGCGGACATGACACTCTCTGAAGTCCATGCAGTGATGACTGGAGGGTTTGCCACCATTTCAGGCACTGTGTTGGGAGCCTTCATCTCCTTTGGGGTAGGCATAATCTTTTTGATCACTCCTGGGTGAACCCACGTTTGGGTCCTGCAGACTCTGATCCCTATGTCTGGCCTTACAGATTGAAGCGTCATCCTTGATTTCTGCGTCTGTGATGGCTGCCCCATCTGCCCTTGCCTTGTCAAAGTTGGTCTATCCAGAAGTGGAGGAATCCAAGTTCAAGAATAAGGAGGGAGTAAAATTGCCCCGTGGGTGAGTCCAATGAGGCATATAAATCGGGAGACGCTGAGGTCAGGTGCAGAGTCAGGAGTAGTGCTGCGGTGGCAGAGGCTTCACGTCTCCTAAAGGAAGGATAATCTGATTCCGTATCCTCTCTTGTCTACCTCTACCTCAAGCTGATCATGTAGATTTTATTTGTTTAACCCTCCATCTGCCTCGGTCTTCTGCAGACCAGTATTCTCTGTCCTAGATGTCAGTACAATTTCATGGCAATTAAACCTGATACTGCTTCAGTATAATTTCCACCACAAGGGTCACTGAGGAACCCCATCTCCTTTTAAGCTGGTCTTGCACCTTCCTTCTGTACTTTTGCACCACAGGAAAAGTGGGGATTTCTCTTCTGTGAGAGGCTGAGACTAATCCAGACACCATATTCTTCTCCTATGCCCAATAACCACAGGAAGGAGTCAAATATCCTGGAAGCTGCCAGCAATGGAGCCACAGATGCCATAGGCCTTGCTACTAATGTAGCAGCCAACCTGATTGCCTTCTTGGCCGTGTTGGCCTTCGTCAATGCTGCCCTTTCCTGGCTAGGGGAATTGGTAGACATACAGGGGCTCACTTTCCAGGTAAAGAGTTACATTTGTTGTGCTGTCCCTGTAAGTTGTATTTAAGTGGTCCTTGACCTGTGAGTGCTCTCCTGACCCACAGTGAGCTAAAACAGAGCAAGGATAGAAGGGTGGAGGAGACTAAGTTAAGGCTCCAGAGAAAGTCCTTGGGTCCTGACCTGTGTTGCTTGTTCTTTCTTTTCATCTAGGTGATTTGCTCCTACGTCCTAAGGCCTATGGTTTTCATGATGGGTGTAGAGTGGGCAGATTGTCCAATGGTGGCTGAGATGGTGGGGATCAAGTTCTTCACAAATGAGTTTGTGGCCTATCAGCAACTGTCTCAATACAGGAACAAACGTCTCTCCGGAATGGAAGAATGGATCAGGGGCGAGAAACAATGGATTTCTGTAGGTGGCAATTCAGAAGAGCACAAATCATTTGTGGGCAGACAGAAAGTGTTACACAAATTTGTTTCACACCCATGGATCCCTTTCCTATGACCCGGGCCTAAACCACAAAGCAAGCATAACAATATGCTTAACTCCAGGCCCCTAAGGTCCATGTGCTATTCCTCCCCTGCACTCTGACCCAACTTCTCTCTATAATTGTAATTTACAGTTGGGGAAGTTCAGGGTAGACACTATTTTTGATGGCTTAAGATCCCCTTCTTCATGTATAAGTTTAAATGCTATAAATTGATCTCCTTTTCTCTCTCTCTGTATCTCAATCATCCTCATTCTTAGGCCTTCTCCATACTCATGGACTTGAACAAGAAGAGTGCGGGGCAAAGAGGCCCATTGTGGTTGCCATAACATTATTCCTGTAATAACTCAGGAAGTGATTATTTTCTGAGTATCTTTTCCATATTCTTTAGGGTAATGTGGAAAAGATTGGGGGTTCTATGATCTTTGGAACTTCTATCATGATTATATGACTACACAATATGGGACTGAATTTATTTACTTATTTACATGTGTTTTTCCTAGGTGAGAGCTGAAACCATTACAACATTTTCACTCTGTGGATTTGCCAATCTTAGTTCCATAGGAATCACACTGGGAGGCCTGAGTGAGTCTTTTCATTTTCCCAGCTACCCTATAAGCCAGATAGACCCTAGCTTCTGTAGTAGGCAGTCTGGTGCTTCAGTACAAGTTGAGACCAGATAGAGAAGCTGGTGTGAAATGGGCCTGATTGGCACAGATAATTTGGAGTTAAGGTAGCCCTTGCCTGGCTATGCATGGAGCCCAGGCTAGATTTACAATCTCTATTTCTGTTACTCTTTTTCCATTCCATTGGAGGCTCAAAAGACTTATTTGACTTTTATTTTCCCTTTGAGGAAGATTATCATGATATTACTTTTATTTTGCTATTAAATGGGTATTGTGCATATATACCCATTGTTTTTTATTCAGTACCAAAGGTATTTTCTGAAATTAGGCTGCTCACCAGTTGTCTTCATAGAATTAGGAGTTGCACAAGGAATCAAAAGACAAATAAAATCATCAGACATATAGGGCAGATAGACAGTAAGAACCACTGGCGTCAAGTATGGGATTAAAAGCTATAAATCACTAGGCGGGGGAGGAGTATTTGAAGCAGATACAGAAAAATTAGGTTGTAGGTGATGGTTGGATGGAAAAGTATGAGGAAAGTGGTGTTGTCCTTGAGATCAGGGATAGCAAACTCCAAGAGTTTGGAAGATCCAAGTTAGAAATAAAGTGTAAGAAGAAATATAGCTACGTGTGTCCATTAAGAATCATTAAATTGATTTATTTGGCTGCTGGTTGAACAATTTAAAGGTGAAACAATTTCCTTTTGGCTTATTTGCCCCCTTTGTTAAATGTTTGCCTGTGCTGTTCTAATTCTGATGCCCGATTACTGTCTGATTGTGAGATTGCCATCTAGCAGTGGGATGTGCATCATGTGACTGAGGTTTAGGCAATGTGGCCATCCTTATTCCTCTGACTCAAAGCAATCCATCAGATTCTGGTCCATGTAGTGAACACCAGGCATCTGTGCCTGTCTGGAGCAAACTAGAGCTTTCCTTGATCCAGGTGCATCTTGGGAATGTTCATGGAACCACTGAAGTTAGGGTCAGACACACATTCCTTGACCTAGGTAATGTTTGAATTAATGAACCCTCAGGACTAAAGTATATATACACTTCTTAGAGCACTGCTGGCCAGCCTCTGGTGGTTAGTAGTAAAAAAAAGCTATTCATCTGCTGTGTTTTATTCTTCTGCATTCTTTAATTGGGGCTCATGGGAAATACCAGATTGGCTGGTGATTTATTATTTTGTTTTGTCTGCAGCATCAATGGTACCCCACAGGAAGAGTGACTTGTCCAAGATTGTAGTGAGTGCCCTCTTCACAGGGGCCTGTGTATCCCTTATCAGTGCCTGTGTGGCAGGTATGTACCTCAGCTGGTCTTTTGGTAGAAATCACAAAGCTAGATACTGATAAGATCTCTCTCAGAATACTGATTAACCATCCACCTCACAGATGCATATAAAAGGCACCTAATCTATAATGTTCTCCAATTTACACCTAGATTGTTGAGAGCTTTCAGGAACATGTGTAAAATCTTCCCCTTACTATCTCTGTCTCCTTTATCCAGGAATCCTCTATGTTCCCAGGGGAGCTGAAACTGACTGTGTCTCTTTCCTAAACACAACTTTCACCAATAGAACCTATGAGGCCTATGTGTGCTGCAGAGAGCTCTTCCAGAGGTGAGTGAGCATCAGGATCCCAGCTTCCTCCTCTAACATGCTTTCCACAACTCAGCAATTGTCTGGGAGAAACAGGGTCTTGAGAGTAATCATGTGGATCCTGAATAGAGTGTTTAAGAAGGAAGATGGGTATTTGTGGTAGTCTAGATTTATGCTCTTTTCTCTTATTACCTCTAGTATATATTATCTCTAGTGTGGACAAGTGACAGATTTTACTGATATTGGTGGGATACTGAGAAATGGAGGGGTAAGGAAAGAAGAAAGGAAGTGTGATTTCCCTATTGTGACTAGAATGTTGTAGGTGAAGGCTTGGCAATGGTCCTAGGTGGCTAAGAAATTATGGACTTCTTCATACAGAAATGATGACTGAAAGAGGATCAAGTTGAATTAGTCATGATGCATTCAGATAAAATAAATTTGTTTACCAATTTCTGGGGTATTATAATAGTTTTCTGTTTTCTCATGTAAGGAGCTGGTAAACAAGTAAAAAAACTGAACAATTTGAAAAATCAGTTATTCTTCTTAGATTCTTGAGAGGTGAGGACACACAGCAAACCACTGCCCCCAAGATTGGAGAGACAGGGGAATACAGGTAGTCACAGTTATTGGAGCAGAGACTCATGAGTGGAAACTGCTGCAGAAACCAACCCATGCAGGGGTAGGAGAACCTGAAACTGTAATTGCTGGAGGCATAGTGAGGACAAGTCTGAATGTTAAAAACTTAGGTAGGGGTGGGGGTGACAGTCATAGGAGGCACCCCACACTTTTGTGACTTTTACCTCCAGGAAATAGACCAGGTTCTCACAGTAAATAAAAAAAGAAACAGAGTTGAAGTTATGGTGTACTTCAAAATGGTTCTCTTCCCCCCTCCCTGGGTGAAGAGGAAAAGGAACCATTTAAAAACATACCAGAGACTCTGTTTTTGTTGTTGTGAACACATGTTTTTATTTATTTCAGGTGAATACCAGGAGTAGAATTGCTGGGTCTTAGAGTAGATACATGTATGATGAAAAAGATGCTATTGAGAAGTTGGTCTGTAGAACAGTAGAACAGTAGATGGTCAAACACAATCACTTTATCAGGTGCTCCATTTGAGTCTTAGTTTTCTATGAGTTATTTCTTAAACAATTTTTATTTTTTAATTACAGTTGACATGCAAAATTATATTACTTTCAGTTGTACAATCCACTGATTAGACATTATATAACTTACTAAGTGATTATTCTGATAAATCTCGCACCCATCGACACCATACATGGCTATTATATTATTGTCTATATTCCCTATGCTGTTCTTTACACTCTTGTGACTATTCTATAATTACCAATTTTTATTTCTTAATCCCTTTACTTATTTCACCCATTCTCCCAACCCCTGTCCCATCTGTCAAAATGTTCTCTGTATCTATGTCTGCTTTTTAAAAAAATGTGTTTTTTTAAAAAATTTATTTCAGAGAGAGGAAGGGAAAGGGAGAAAAAGATAGAAACATCAATGATAAGAGAGAATCATTGATCAACTGCCTCCTGCACACCTCCTACTGGGGATCAAACGCGAAACTTGGACATGTGCCCTGACAGGGAATCAAACCAGCAACCTCCTGGTGCATGGGATGATGCTCAACCAACTAAGCCACACTGGCTAGGCTGTTGGTTTTATTTATTTATTTATTTATTTTTTATTTAATCCTCACCAAGGATATGTTTTTTAAAATTGATTTTACAGAGAGGAAGACAGAGAGAAAGAGAGAAACATCGATTGGTTGCCTCCTATATGTGCTCTGACCGGGACTGAACCCACAATCTGGGTATAAGCCATGATCTGGAATTGAACCCACCACCTTTCAGTATAAGGGATGATGCTCCAACCAACTGAGAAGAAAGAAATAGAAAAAAAAATTTTGAAATAACAATGACTGAGAATTTTCCCAAATTAATGTCAGACACCAAGCCAAAGATCCAGGAACCTCAGAGAACACAAAGCAGGATAAATGCCAAAAATCTACACCTAGGCATATTTTCAAAATACAGAAGATCAGAGATAAAGAAACATACTGAAAGAAGCCAGGATGGGGGAAAAGGGAGCATATATATCGATAAGCTAAAAGAAATAGTTATAAGATACACAGAAAGAAAGATTTGAGGAACTAGAATGTTTAGTTCTGCCAAAATAAAAGATATATATAGTACTGATATATGGGTGAGTGAAGAGAGTTCTGAAGACAATACAGATAGTTCTGGGAGATGAGGCTAAAATATCTTAAAAGGCCTTGTATGAAATGCTAAGATATTTAGATCTTGACTTACAGAATTCTGAACACTGTCATGTTAAGATTTTTTAAAAGATAATTCTTGTAACCATTTAGATGTCTGGGAGACCAATAAACACATTGATGTAATAGTCTAAGTGACTAAATGGTAACAGCTGATACTAAGTGGCTATGGGAATGAAGATGCATTAGACTGAGGAGAATAAATGGGATTGGTCATCGCTAGATAGGAGTGAAGGATGGGGTAGGGAAGGGAAAGGAGCCTCAAGTGATTGTCTTCTTTGTAGCTTTTGAAAAAGGGTCTAAAAGAGATGACACTAGTCCACTGAGAGGAGGACCAGTTTCAGGAGTGGGAATAAAGGGGAAATATTATGGTTTAGCTTCATTCCGTTGGATATGTTGACTTGGAGGTACCTGTGGGACCACCATGTGATGCTACTTGCAAGCCAGTTAGGATCTGGGGTTCAGGAGAGAAATCAGAGTGGGAGTTATATTTGGAAGTTATCTTTAAATAGTTGATCTGTTCACTATTTATGCAGATGTTTGGGTGCTGGCTACTTAACAAGTTACTATGCTGAGTAAACAGATGTTACCCTCTTGTGTTTGGAGGTTATCATCAGAGTAGGCAACCAACAATCTTTGAAAAATAATCCCTTTATTGTACTATTAAAGATGAATTATAAACAGGATAGTGATATTGTTTGATTCCTATGTTCTTGTGCCAGTCCAGTGGATTTCATTGTAAGCACAATCTAAAGTAAGTGAATAAAGTGAAAACTGCTAACTTTTGTTTAACAATGAGTTGTCTTTCCATTGAACTTCACTGAAAAGTGAACAGAATACTCTTTCCTGCTCATTTCTGCCTCTACAGCTGCAATGGACTTTTTGTCTATAGTCATTTACTTAGTGTCATTAGCATCTAGATTCTAAAAGAGATCATGTTTTTGTCCAATGTGTTTATACTAAATAAGTTTTGAGTGACTCCAGATCAAGATGGTGATAGAGGAGGCTCCTGAATTTCCCTCCTCCAAGATATGAATGTACAGCTTCATAGCAATTCCCTTTGAGAGAACCAGAAACTAGCTGAGTGACTCCTACACATTGGGAACAGAAAATACCCACATTGAATTGGGTAGGAAAGGCTAAGACACAGTCTTACCATAAACCCCACCCCTGGCACAGAACTATACAACTGAGGGGACTCCCAACTCAACTTCTCTCAGAGGAGGGAAGGGTTTGCATATTTAGGGCACCAACTTTTAAGGCTCCCACCTGAGGGGCAGGTGCCCCAAACATTTAGCTCTGAAATAATATGGGGCTTGGGTTTCTGAGTCTCCCAGAACTATAGCAAACCAAGAGCAATTCTTAACAGGTGGTGAGCATTCATTGTGGCTCTCCTCCAAGGCTCAATGCAGAGGGAACTGGCAAAATCGCTCATCTCCCAGTCTTTCCTAGGAAAGGGCTTGACAGCAGACTTTCTAAAGCAGCAGCCTGGTCTGTCGCTTCCAATTAGCATGCAACTAAGTGCTCACTGCATTCCTCCCTAGAACCCAAACAAGCCCATGGGCACTTCCCTGACCTTTTCCCTCAGGCTCGCTTCCATGATGAAACCAGGTCATCAGCATTTCTCTGGGAAGAGTTTTACACACTTAGGTGCCACAGTGTTTGTGGTGCTGCCCAAGGGACAAGCCCCCAGATCACCTGGTTCTGATAACCAATGTGGCTTGCATTCAGGAGTCCCCTGTGTCTAGCTTCTAATTAGCATGTATCTATAGGATGACTGTGATCCTCCTTGGAGCCCACTTTCTCCCTCCAACAATAAAACCAATTTTCCGGTATCTCCCTGGAAGGAGCATGTACACACATCTAATGCCCCACATTTTATGGCTGCCACTTAAGGGACAGGCCCCCAAATCACCTATCTCTGGCAGTAAACTGGGCTTGCGCTGGAAATCAATTTCCAGTGGGAAATCTAGCCAACAAAGATGAAGTTTTTAAATGAGCACAGAAGCAACCCCCAATAGGTATACACCCAGGGTTCAGCACAGAGGGAGCAGGCACAAATGCCCATCTTCCATTTTTTCCCTGAAAAGAGTCTGACTGCATACTTTCCCAAGCTGGTATCTAAGGATCCAACTTCTAATTAGCCTGCATTCAGGCGCTGCCTACAAACCTCCCCATTCGGGACACTAATGAGACCTACACAGAGACACATAATTAAATTGTTAAAAGTTAAAAACAAAGAGAATTTAAAATCAGCCAAAGAAAAATAACTCATTTTGTGCAAGGGAATCCTCATAAGCATATTTGCATATTTTTCACCAGCAATCTCGTAGTTCAGAAGGGAGTGGGATAATATATTCAAACTAAAAAACTGCCAACCACGGATGCTTTATCAGGCAGAGTTGTCTTTCAGAAGTGGAGAAATAGTGTTTTCCAAACAAGCAAAAGCTGATAGAGTTCATTATCACTAGATCAGCCTTACAAGAAACAAATAGTAATACAATCTTCCCAAATTTATTAAGACTTGTTCTGTTGCCTTGCATCTGATCTATCAGGCAATTTTCATGTGTGAGAAGAATGTATTCTGGTGTTGGATGGATTGTTCTGTAAATGGATGGTAGTCTATCTAGTATATCATATAATTTAAGTCCAATGTTTCACTGTTGATTTTCTGTCTGTATGATCTATCTATTACTAAATGGGGATATTAAAATCCCCTACTTGTATGAAGGTTCCCAAATAAATTAAAAATAGAACTACCACATGATCCAGCCATCTCACTTCTGGGTATATATCCAAAGAAAATGAAATCACTATCTGTATTCCCATGTTGATTGTAGCATTATTCACAGTAGCCATGGCATGAAAACAACCTCTGTGTCCACTGACAGATGAATGGATACAGAAAATTTATCCTTCTAAAAGAAGGAAATCCTGGTATTTGTAAAAGCATTAAACAAAGTGAAATAAGATTGACAAAGACAAATAGTGCATGGTATCACTTATATGCAGAATAAAAAAATTGTTTTTAAAGCCAAACCTATAGAAACAGAGTAGAGTGGGTGGTTGCCTAGGACTGGGGGGAGGGGGGGAGGAAGACATGTATCTAAGGAGGGTGGAAATAGATGCTTATATACAGGTCTTATCTTGGGCATGGATGAGAAAATATACTTAATAATGTCCTATTTAATTGGTCATTGCAATTGGATCCATTTATAGGTCTTTCCCCCCACCCCACCCCCAGAACTTATTGATATGTCTTGTTGAATTTTCTTTAAAATCTGACCCACTATGTATCTCTCTGGCTTTTCATTTCAGTACTCTGAATGGCACCAACGCTCCTTCTTTTTCCGGTCCATGGGAAAATAAAGAGTTCAGTGCCATAGCCCTTGCTAACTGCTGTGAATTCTACTCCAATGCTGTGTGTGCCTAAGGCTGGTCCATTTTCATGACAGTCTTAATCTTGACAGACTTTTGATGGTAAAGGTATTTATGTAGTCAAGAGTTCCCACTCTACAACCAACTCACCATGTGAAAAAATAATTTGTTTTTCACTGTATGCCAGTAATGAAAATTAGCATTTGTCTTTTCATTATTTGGCTGAATCAAATAGGAAATTCGTTATGGGCTCTGTCTGAGTTTACCTGTGAAATAATAAATATTACCATATAAAAATATCTTGCAAAATCTTCCTTCTAGTTGCCACCTTAAAATTCTGTGATACAGTCTGCTATAAATGTGATTTAGTATTAAATGCACACTGTTGTGAAAAGCTGATTTCTTGGAGTTTTGTGGATGAGTTAGATGTATGGTTCTAATGATGCATATGAAAGTTACATGAATATATGATGTTAAAAATTTTTTTCTGGTTGTCACACATACAACTTCCTTAACATAACATAGTAAACAAAAAATATTTCTTGTCTGCAAACTTGAAAGGAATGTCTATTTCTTTTTTTTAATATATTTTATTGACTTTTTACAGAGAGGAAGGGAGAGAGATAGAGAGCTGAAAACATCCATGAGAAAGAAACATCGATAGCTGCCTCCTGCACATCCCCTACTGGGAATATGCCACCAACCAAGGTACATGCCCTCCACCGGAATTAAACCTGGGACCTCTCAGTCCGCAGGCCAAAGCTCCATCCACTGAGCCAAACCGGCTTCGGTGGAATGTCTATTTCTTAAAGGCTCTTACTTTGTTTTAGTATTCTGCTTTAGTGTTCAATTTGTTTCAAGTTTACAGGGAATCCTTGAAAACAATGATTTTCAGAGGGAAGGATGTCAATTTTGCCTCCCAGGGGATATCTGGCAATGTCTGGAGACATTATTACTTCTCACAAATAGGGGAGAGCGGGGATGCTGCTGACATCTACTGGGTAGAGGCCAGGATTGCTACAAAGTTTCTCTGGCCCCAAATTTCAACACTCTGATTTAAAATATCTAATATATGCCTTATATATAATATTATTTATAGTATTAATAGTATTATAGTATTAAGGAAGAGTTTCAAAAAGATGTAGAGAGTTCCTCAAAAGTTAAACATGGAATTACATTATGTCCCTACAATAACCACTCCTAGGTATAGATGCAAAAGAACTGAAAATAGGTATTCAAACAAGTATATATATGTACATGTTCACAGTAGCATTCTTCATAATAGTCAAAAGATGGAAACAGTCCAACTGTCCATCAATGGCTGAAAGGATAAACAAATTGTGTTATGTACATATGATGGAATTTTATTCAGCCATAAAAAGCATGAAGTACCTATATATGCTACTTACAAAGAGAAACCTAGAAACATGCTAAGTTAAAAAAGCCAGACACAAAGGTTTGTTATTGTATGATTCTGTTTTGTATGATTCCATTTATATGCAAATTCAGAACATCTAAGTCCATAGAGACAATATAGATTGGTGGTGCCAGGGGCTGGGGTCTGGGGGGAGTGTGGAATTGGGAGTAGCCACTTCATGAGTACCCTATGGTTTTACTTCAGGGTAATGGGACTGTTTTGGAATTAGTAGAGGTGGTGCTTACACAGTATGAATGTACTTTTTCATTGACTTGTTCATTTTAAAAGGGTTTGTTTTATGTTATGTGAATTCCACTTCAATAAATTATATTTATATGTCTAAAAATGGATGTAAATACTTTTGTATATGTTCCCTTAACTAATCTACCTTCTTCCACTTCACAGTTTTCTGAGCTCAGAACCTCTTGGTCTTCTTTCCAGTCTCCATTCCAATCTCTCTCCTATTTCCCAAAGTTGACGTAAAAGGGAACTAAGCCTCAATAAACTGCTTCTTGACCTGCACACTGACTTTCCCCCTAGCCTGGTTTCTTTCTGCGAGGCAGCAGAAGGCAGTGCTTGGTGGTACTGGACACTCAGCCAGACTACTTGGGTTCAAATTCAGTCTCTGCCACTAAATGTACTAAATGAATGGACACTGGGTGAACTCGGGCAATTTCCTTAACTTCTCTGGGTCATGGCTCCTCATCAATAAAATGGGAATAAATGGACCTACCTTATAGGCAAAGTTGTGAGGTTGACTGCTCACCATAGGCTCAATGTAAGGGTTAGCTGCTACTAATCATTAGTATTAATATTTAAGGAGCTTCGTTCACGACTATCAATTTGAGTTTTGTATGCAATTTAGTTCACCCAAGGTAGCACGGAGCACGGACGGGAGGGAACTCATTATCTCCTTTCAGGGGAAAGGGCGGGCTTTCTTATTCTCAGTTTCCTAGTTGAAACAAATCTGGCTTAAACTCCCTTACTAGGAGGACGGAGCAGCGGTAACAGCAGGAAGCATGGCAATCATTACCACCACCACCTGCAGAGGAGTCTCAACAGCCAGAGAAGCGAACAGGAAAACCTGGCACTGAATGTGATCTCAGCAAACTCAACAACAACTTCCCTAGTTGAGCACCAAGGTGACCTGGGCAGAAATGGGCTGGGCAGCCAGGGTAGTGTGCAGGCACGGGAGGATCAATGACTCTGAGACTCATCCTGGGGCAGGGCAAACATGCCCACTCCCTGGTCTAGGAAGCCCATGCGCTTGGCTTCCACAAACAAGAGCTACTAGGGTCCCCTGGTGTAGGAGCCACAGGCAGAGAGGAGAGGAAACTGGGTGAGAGAGTAGGTAAGAGAAAAGATAACGAGGACTAAGAAAAATGGGAGTTGAGAAAGGAGGCTGTGAGAGTAATAGTGTGGAAAGGGAACCACGTGATGAGGACTGAATCACTTAGTGGGTCAAGTATGTTCTCTGAAACACTACCTATAACATCTCTCTAGTGCATATTGTTCCACAGTCTGCCCTTTTGTTTAAAGTGTGTGGAAGTCTTTCTAGGCCAGTACATATAGATGTATCTCATTCATTCTATTGGCTCCGTGGTATTCCATGTAAGGAGGTACCTACGTTATTTTTTCCATATTAGTGTACATTTCTATCAACTTATATTTAGCCAATTATTTCTAGAGGTCTGAGGTACACAAATTTTGTTGTTTGACTCCCACTTCTGAATTAGCTTTAGATGCTTCTTGGTGGAAGTTTTTGCCTAAGCTATTACCTCTGTGAAAATAATTTACTTTTAAGACAGAGATAAAAAGATTAGGAGCCAGAAGATCTGGATTCAAAGTCTTGGCCAGAGTTCCTTTGAAGCCACATGAAAATTCTTAATCTCTCTGAAGTTCAATATCCACTTCTGAATAATGAAGGTGGTGATAGTTATATCTACCTTACAAGTTGCTAGAAAACTTGAATGTACATGAAAAAACCACATTGTGGAAATGGTATGGTCTCTAAAGATATTCTTTTCACAAGTAGTTAAAGTGTAAGGACCTCAGAGAGTCTGCCCCTTTATACATGAATTTCCGCTTGGTACTTATCACACTTCTGGCATTGCTTACTTATTGAGATTTACATGTTTGCTTTCTTCCCCCATTTAATCCCTACAACAACCCTTTGAGGAAGGCACTATTACTATCCCAGTTTTCCAGGTGAGGAAATATAGGTTTAGAGAGATTATAAATTGCTCCCTAGAGTCACATGCTAAGTGACAGAGCTGGGATCTGAGCCCAGGATCTGTCTAACTCCAAAGGCCTTGCTCATAACCACTATGTCTATTCTCATACGACTTCAGTTTTCCCTGCCTACATCTGATCCAGTGCCTCAAGGCCCACTGGTTTAATCCAAGTGGTCTCTTCAGCTTCTAACATATTTACACTTTCTGAAGTACCTGTGCTATCATGTCCTGCTGTGTGGCATCTTATATTTTTGTTTTATTTTGCTGTTTGTCTTATTGTTGTCTTTTATTGAAGCAAGCATAAAAATAGTTCTAAACTCTGGAAATTCCCTCAAAGACAGAAATGTCTTTATTTAACAAGTTACTTTTATCAGCCCTAAATGTGGAGTTCCAGGAGAAAAGAGACCAAGTCTGTTTGCTGCCAAAGCCCAGGAGCTAGCACTGCCTAGCCTAAATAAATAAATGAATGAATATTAAATAAATGAAATGTTTATTTGAGGACTAAAAAAGATGAAGCTCCAAGGTTTGGTCCTACACTTGGGGCAAAACCAACATAGGGAAAATGTCTGCCAAGTGAAAGCACATACATAAAAGCACTTATAATGCCTGATATAAAGTAAGCATTTAGTTGTTATTGTTACATAAGTATAATAGGGATGGAGTGGTGCTTATAAGTAGCAGGTAGAAAATAGGAAGGCAAAAGAAAGGAAAAAAATGGAGCAAAATGATGCTGAACGAGATGGCCAGTAAGGACTTCTCCTGTAGGCATGGTCTTCAATGAGCCTCTGTAAACAGTGGAGGAAGAGAAAACAATTTGATTCTATTTTTATTTATTTTTTAAAAATATATTTTATTGATTTGTTACAGAGAGGAAGAGAGAGGGATAGAGAGTAAGAAACATCGATGAGAGAATCATTATCAGCCTCGTCTTGCACACCCACTACTGGAGATGTGCCTGCAACCAAGGTACATGCCCTTGACCGGAATCGAACCAGGGACCTTTCAGTCCACAGGCCCATGCTCTATCCACTGAGCCAAATCAGTTTCGGCAACAATTTGATTTTAAATAAAATGTGTATATTGACTAATGAGCACAGGCTGGGACCTGGCCCAGAATGGCCGGCATTTCCCTGGGACTCAGACATCACGGAGCTCATGACCGTCATGCTTGCCACGTGGAAATATGGGGATGGAAATACGTGGCGTGGGCCCTCCAAACTGGCCCCTGCTCCAGGTGGCTTTCCCCACTCATGTCAGAGCAGCTCTGTGTTCTGAGTTTAAGTTACTGCCGCTGAGAACAACTCACATCCCGGCAGCAGGATTCTGGGTCTCTTTTGCTTCTGTCATTAAGTCATCCTCCTCCTCCGCAGTTCCTGTTGGCATGGTCTTCAATGTGCCTCTGGA